GAGCTGTTGGAGAGAGGACAATAGCAGCCAAACTATGCTCTCAGCTACCTGTGTGCCGTGGGAGGCTTTGGGGCAGAAAGCACTGCTTACTGATTGCAAGACAGATTAATTTTTAAATTCAAAAAAAAAGAGAAACGAAGGCAGAAAAGGTTTTTGGACAGCATGTGTCCCTCTTTGCTCTTCAGCCCTGACTGGAATGACAGTGCCTTTTTGGTGGAGATGTAGCTCTATCAGCTCTTAGCGCTTCAGCTTTCCTCTAGATCAGTTTTTGTTTTGTGCATAGTCAAACTCTGGTAGAAGAGAATCACCCCATGCTTTGGTCTTGGCAGGTGGATGAAAGCATCAAGTACAAAACCATGTGCTTAAATTAAAAGGTATTTCATTTTCAACTGTTGGCCTGGTGAAATGGCACGTTCAAGGGCTTGTATGTCTGCACTTGGTGCTGGACGTGTTAGCTCCTCAGGCACTTGAGCTGGGAGGATGTTTGCAGCACACACACAGGCTATGAGAGCACTATGAGCAACAAAAACAGTACAGCCTTTCTGCTCCTCACTTGTTCTGCTTATTTTAACTCAAGATGAGTTTCTGCAGTCTAACTGACATCAAATTCTTCAAGGCTGTGTGAACCTCTATTCTGTATTTTATGTTTACCTCTTCATTTTTCATATTTAAACTTCTTAGAGGGGTTTTTCCCTCTGTGTTCATCTATCTTGGTGAAACTGGAGGTTTGTGTGATAGTAACTGATGAATTCTGCAACTGAAAGAAGTCCTTTCTTGATCCCTCTCCCTCCCCCCATGCTTCTCCCCTTGGTTTAGCATGGCTTGCTCACTCCTCTCTAGCATCAGGCTATCTTCCATCTACAGTGGGGTTGTGCCTTCCACCTACTCATACTCTACTTGTCTGTCATGGTTGGTATTCCTGAAAAAGATTGAATTTCCAGTTTCTGGCTACAAAGGAAACCAACATTTGATCTCACTTCCATGGGCTCGGCCTTCCATCCCAAAGTTTTCTGCAGCTGGGGAAGATGCACCTGTGGAGATGCCTGCTAAGAAAGTTTTGCATGTTGTCAGTGTCAGAAAAATAGTCTGTGTGAAAACAAAGCTGTGAGAATTCTGGTCCAGAGGGAAATCCCTGTCCTGTGGTTTTACAGGACACCCTTCATCTTCTGCGTGCGATGATCAGAGGTGCCACAGGCAAAGTCACATCTCAGTGGAGCTTGGCAACATCTTAGTCTGGTGCCCTTCAGAAGATCAGCAAGCATGGAAAGCGAGCTCCTGAAGGACCCAGAAGGCAGGGGAGTGGAGGTGGAGAGCATTCCCCTGTGCCATAGCCACTGCCTAATCTGAATTCTGCATCTTGGCTCCCTCAGCTGTGCTCTGACATGCCTTGGTGACTCCCTGACAGCTCTTGGTGTGAAAAACTCCTGAGCTGTCAGTTTGGCCACCTCTGTGGCATGCGAGATGGTCGTCGTTCATTCTGCCAGGAGGATGCAGACCACGTTTTCCTTTTCAGGGCAACAACTTTCTCTTCCTTGTGTTCAGTTTCAAAACTGTGATGGCAGCCTTTATCTCACACCTAGAAAGCACAGTTTGCATATCCTGATATTTTTTTCTTAGGATGCTTGTTTTCAGACTGCTGTCAAATCCTCTCCAAAGACACTTTTCTTGTTGTTGCCTGCCTCACTATTAACACGCCCTGGGACTGACAGCTGCAGAAGCAGCTTTGGTTGGGCTTTTTGGAGTCTTGAGAATCTCTTCGCAGTCCTTGGTGCAACCTTTGCCTTCTTGAAGAGGTGCCTTATTGCAGGGTCTTTTTTTCTTAAAGACTTCCTGTGCATCATGACAGAGGACCAGTCTCTGCCTAGCTATGCGTGCACACTGGCTGGTGGAGCTTTTACCCCTGTGACTGACCTCAGCTCTTCTCTCAGTTGGGTTTCTGCCATGCAGGGTGTACCATTTTTCTGTCCCCAGACGTTGTCATCACTGGGACAGATTCTTAGGTAAAGACAAAGCACAACAATAGTCATCAGGTGGGGTGTCACTTCTATTTTGAAGGGATATTCTTGCACACTAAGACAGCCTGGAGCTTAGGGTGACAGATTTTGTCTTATTAGGGGATTTCTGTCCATTTGTGCATCCCATGGGATTTCAAAACTGGGTGCCAAGGGGGGGCACCCAGCTTAGTTTATTTTCGTGACTCTTGCTAACTTTTAAAGCAATGTGGCTACTGCTGGTTGGTAAGAGAGACATCACAGAGGTGTTATCCAGACTTCTGCAAAATATTGCAGTGGGGTGCATGGTGATGTCCTGCAGCCACTGTTTCTCAGTGATTGAGCCTCTCTGCTGCTGGTTTGGGCTTTGCTCTGGAGTGTGCACCTGGACAGGCACTCAAAAGCAAAGCAATGAATGTGTTGGTAAACAAAATTTACTGAGAGATGCAAAATAAAATGTAAATACACCTAAAATTGCAGTGTTTATCATCATGCTGGGAAGCTGGTAGGTTCTCTGGAAGGTGTTGTCCATATGCATGTTCTAGATCTTACCACTTCCCTAAAAACTCCTGATATTTTGTGGTTGAAGGAAAAGTGAGAAGCCAGAACAAACACTTTAAAAAAAAAAAAAAGTAAATTATTTTGGGTCCTGAGTAGAAAGAGAGGGCATATATAGTTCAAGTGCTGTAAAAATTATAACTGAGCTTAAATTCAGTGTTTGTATTAACAACACATCTCAGAGATGTAAGTTACTCTTGTCATCAAGAGACAAGGAGATTGGTCCTTCTGAAGGTTACTGGTAGTTTCATGTGGTCCTTGTGTTGACAGTAGACCTAATTTTTGAGGTTCCCATTTGAAAACATTACTACATATGCAGAGAAATTGTGTGGGGTGTTTCATTTGCAGTTCCTCAGAGCTCACGTGTCTTGTAGTTAGTTTTGATGTGTCCTTCAACTTACATGTTTTTGGAGAGCATCAAGAGTTCAGAGTTTGTTCTTCTCAAGTGAGAATAATTCATGCAGGGTAGGGAAAACCTGCTTCTTTCTGCATGTTTTTTTCCAATAGGGAGGCTGGACTTGATCTCAGAGAGTTTGGAGATTGCTTCTCCCCAGATTGCTGTTTTTCCAGTGGTAATAAGAGACTTGGCCACAGCACTCTCCATCTCTTTTTATGTCTGCTTTGGACCTCGAGCACAACGCTCTCCAAAGGCATCAGGCTTCCAGCCTGCCTCTGTCAGCTTCCACAGGAACATGCTCTGAGAGGGATTTTACAGAATGCAGATGGAACAGCTCTTAAAGACCTGCTGGACAATGCATAAGAAGTCTACATTGGTCATGGAATTGAAGACAGATTGCAGACACATCTACAAGGAGGTCCCTTCCCTTTGCCACATGCCTGTCTCAGGACATCACAATCTGTGTTGCATTATCTCAAAGTCTGAAAGATGAAGTTCTGCTGGGAATTCCTCTTCCTTCTCCAGTTCTAAATTGAGATGTCTGGACGTGGACTCATCTCTGTGCCTGCAGGGATGTTTCTGAAAACACATTCACTGAGTTCTCACTAGGTTGCTTCTTGTTCTGGCCAGGTGTTATCCTAAGCTGAGATGTCTGCTCTTCAAAATCAGGCTTGCTTCCTTTCTTCTTCATGCTCTGTCAGTGTGAAACAGGAATACAGATCTGTTTGGGCTTTTTTGGTGGATCAGTTGTTTATTATAACAAAAGGACTGATCCTTTTCTAATCCCCTTGTTTCCTACAGACTTCATTTGGTTTTTCATCAGACTAGGTCAGGTCTATCTGCCTGGGCAAAGAAACAGAAAGTACTACAGGAGAAAGGTCACAACATCTAGCTTACTGTGATTGGTGTGTGCTCTAGCAAATTTAAAATGGGACATTTTGATAGCTCAGGCTTTCTTAGAATGTTTTTAGAAGAGTATAAAAAATTCATTTGAATGGCTTTGAGTAGGGAACAGGTTAGAGCTCTTGCTATGGAAAACAAAAGACAAAAAAAAATACCCAAACCAACCCTTCTGGGTGTTTTCTGTGACTTTAAACTTTTTAGCAAGACCGATGACAGTTAAATAGTACTTGTTTTGTTTTGGTTTTTTGTCACAGGGCTATTGCTCTTGTCAGCTCTCCCAGTGTAGCATATCCCACTTCAGATGAGACCTTAGCAGCAGATTTCAAAACTAAAGGTGAAATCCAAATTACTAGTGATCCAGCTGTGGTACTGCTTTGCTCATGCAAGCTCCAAACCTTAGATGAGAGACTGATGTATTTTATAACATGCCTGCTGTGCTGGATCCTGACAATCAGGCAGTGTGTCATGAGGTTGGTCCCAGAGCTCAATCAGTTCCAAATCTGGAAAACACAATAACTGCACAAAAAGACCACTAGGGCTTTTAGTGGCTTTTGAAAGAGCAAGGCTGTGTTCTGTGCCAGAAATGACTCATTCAAGAGCTTTCTCACTGAGCTGCGTTCCCAGCTCCCAGATAGTTCTGAAAGGAAAGAAATGCAACAGAGCCTTCTAGTAATGGAGCCTTGAAAGCTTCTGGGTTACTGCTGAGTACAGTCAAAGGCAGGGACCTCACTGTACAGACCCAGAGAGAGAAGATAGGAGTGAAATTGCTCTTTTTCTGGGGATGAGAGTGCCTGGGGCAGCCACCTGGTCATCCCACCAACCTGCAGTATTTCAGGATGCATTGCCTTCCCCACCCTTTTTTGGTTTTCTGCTAAGAGAGTAATTTGGAATCCTGCCATCCCAAAATGAGGGTGGGAGGAGAATGATTTGAAATATCCTCAGAGGTGATCTCCAAACTGCTGCTTGTCCTGTGCAGATTAATCCTAAATGTAAAAACTTTTCACGGTAAGAGTATGGATTTAGGTATTATTGAGCTCTAGATTTTAACCTGTGTGTAAATTACCCTTCTCTCTCTCTTTCTTTGTTTGAAGAGGCTGGTTTTTTCCCCTCTCTTACCCATCTCAATTAAATGTTGTTCCTTTTTGCTGCAGCTATTCATAGTCTAAAGCTGAGTCGCAACCATGTGGACTGGCACAGTGTGGACGAAGTGTATCTGTACAGTGATGCAACAACATCTAAAATTGCCAGAACTGTTACACAAAAGCTGGGGTTTTCCAAAGGTAATATTCCTCAGAGTTCGTAAAGAATGTTGTAAATAAGTCTTTTAAGTTTGTTACTTTAGCATTAGAGGGAGATTTTGAGTTTGAAGGTTTAATATGTGACTAGCCTACTTCAACTATTGCAATTTGGACAGAAATTAGGGGTCTTAGGTTGTTGTATGTAATTGTGCCTAGATGTGAATAGGCTGTGATGTATTTTTATTACACATTTTATTTTTATTTTGTATCCAGCAGCTATCTTTATATCATAAATATATTAAAATATTACAGTGGTGGAGTCTCACAGGTACAATGTAAGAACTGCAGTTCCCTTTGGAACCTTAACTTCACCACTATGCATGATGTGATGCATTCCTTAAATGCATGATTATACCTTCCCCTCACCACCTCTTGCCTTTTTTTCCATTCATTAAACAGACATAGGAACTGGTGAAGCATTTAGACAGAAATTGTTTCCAGTAGGAATCCAGGCTCATTTAAGCTCAAAATTAGCAGTCTAAAGCCAACGAGGATGAGGTGGTTGGAAGAGAAGGTTGGTCTCTCTCAAGTAAAAGGCCAAAAAGATTATTGCCAACCTAGAAAACTGGAACTTGTCCTCTCTGTTGTGGTGCTCCTATGCACTGATGGACACTCCAAAGCCAAAAACATACACATCTTGTTCATTCCTTGGTTTCTGAAGAGGCAAAATCAAGTAATTGGTTTGGCTTTAATCTCCATGTCTCTGTGCTTTAATGAATGCCCTCTTACCCCACAGGGTTCTTGGGTGGGTAATTAATTCATGTTTGTCCAAAATTAGTATCATTCAATGCTCTAGTTCCAGCAGAAATTAAGTATTTTGTATCCAGAACATGATTTGGAGAGTGTGAAATAATAAGATATGTTCTAAACAATCTGGGGGGAGAAATAACAAATAGAACCCTACTTGGTAAACAAATCCTGTGCTGTGTAAAAAGTGCTCTAGTGGGTTTGTAGTGTTTTCCTCCTCTTTAAAAACAAAACCAGGGGCTTCAAATTTTTCTGTTGGGGAATGATGCTGCCCCTCTGCATGGCCATCTGAAGGGGCTGCTGGACTCGTGCAAGGCTGTGGTCCTCTCTGTGGGTCTGTCACTAGAGGGGGATGCAGACAAGCTGTGCCAGTGGGTTTCTAAAGCATCTGAAAGAACACTCAGATTTACCCTGGCTTATTCACTTTTGGTTTGGCCGTTGAACTGGAGAGCAGGTGGAGAAATTTTGAATCAGCTTGAAATAAAACATAGGTTTTTTTAGTCAAAAATGAAAAATTGTAAGCTGTTTTATTTAGGTCAGAGAGAATGGCAAGGTTACCAGTTTAGTGGCCACAGTATTTCCATGATCCTTCCATGCTGTGAGTGTAAGGTGGAGATATAAGGAAGTTTAGTGATTGAGACAGAAGAAAGGTATTGTGTTGATGTTGATACAGCTGTTTTCTAAAAAGTTGGTTTTGAAAACACTTCTGAAATAAGTTATTTTTACAGTAATACCTTGACTGATATAATGAATATCATCTAGTAGCTTAAACCTCTCAGGAGTTTAAAACTGCAGGTCCTTAAAGATAAGTGCTATTCCTTTATGTATAATCTGGTTTTCAAAATACTTTCTTGTGTTGGTCAGAGAAAAGTCAAGTTTCTGTCAACATGTAAGACCATTACACTTGGTAGAATGTAACTGATCTAGGATAATGTTTTTTTTTTTCTACAGCTTCAAGTAGTGGGACAAGGCTACATAGAGGCTATGTAGAAGAAGCAACGTTAGAAGACAAGCCACCACAAACTAGTCACATTGTGTTTGTTGTGCATGGTATTGGGCAGAAAATGGACCAAGGAAGGATCATCAAAAATACAGCTATGTGAGTGCTTTGTAATATTTCCTGTACCACCTCTAACCTGGATCTAAGGCTGATGCTATAAACGACAGCAAAGCCTTTGGTTTAAGCTGTGTCTTTCCCTGTTTCCTTCTCCTCCTCTTCCCCTGAGTCATTAATCTTTATATTGTGGACACACGACTTTCTATGTTAATTTGGAGGTATGGACTTAGCAGAAGCAGCTACAAACCAGAAGGGTAAAGATAGATCCTGTTTTCATTACCAAAACTTGTGATTTTTAGGGGACTGGCCCATGGATTTTTAGCAGCTGTGGTCAGTGACTTCGCTGAGCAGCAAGAGATTTTTTTCGTTTGGTCAAAATCATGGAGAATATCTGTTCATTAGCAGGCAAGTGAAGAGCATACTGGTCAGAGAGGGGAAATGGGGATCTGGCAGGAATTGTTTTGGGTGGGAAGAGACCTTAAAGGTCATCTCATCCAACCCCCTGCCCTGAGCAGGGACATCTGCAGCTAGAGCAGGTTGCTCAGAGCCCCGGCCAACCTCACCTGGAATGGTTCCAGGGATGGGGCAGCGACCACCTCTCTGGGCAGCCTGGGCCAGGGGTTTACCACCCTCAGTGTCAACAGTTTCTTCCTTCTTTCCAGTATAAATCTCCCTCTTACAGCTTAAAAACATCACCCCTTGTCCTTTTGCAACAGGTCCTGCTAAAAATCTGTCCCCATATTTCTTGTAGGCACCCTTTAAATTATCAGTGTTGGCATTCTGACAGGGCAGGGTTGCTTCATGCAGCTGGAAGCTATTGCTGTGAGACTGCTCATGGAGTTCTGTACATAGATGTCAGTTGGAAAGTAAGATGTGATTGAAAGCTCAGCAGATCTTTTCAGTGGAGGTCTTTTGTGAAGACTGGTTTGCAGATGGCTTTTGATTTGACATGTGAGCTAATTCAGAAGTCCACTTAGGGTACTGGTGAATGGGAAGAGAAAATTCTGGTCTGTTAAGAATGTTGTACCTGAAAAAAATTGATTTTTTTTTTTTTTTAATATTAAAAGAAATTGTAAAGTCATGATGACAGCATTTTGTGGGACAAGGTGGTGTTAAGGAATCTTTCATTAGTGGAAAGAAGAGGCTAAAAAAGTATTAACTGCAGATCTGTGTTGCACAGATGGTTTAGTACATGGAATGTGGAACTATTTAGGACACATCAAAGCTGCCACAAACAGTGACCTACCCAGTGACTCCTGTGGAAGTGTGTGGAGAGCTGGGATGGCTGATTCCATGGTATGAGCTTTGAGAACCTCCCTTCAAATCCACAATGGCAACGTAGGTCAGGGCCTCTGTGCCATCAACTGTGGTGTGTACCTTCATGTCAGCAGGCTCTCGTTTGCTCAGCTCGTTGTTCCACTCCAGAGTCCTCTGCAGTGGTGGAGTAGACCTCTTCATTTCCCTACTGTCATTTGTCATCTCAGAGCAATGACCTGTTACTCCCTACTCCCCTTTGCTGCTCTTTTATTTGTGGTGGTGAGGAGCAAAAAAATCAAAGAGAAAAGGATCTGCAGCCCTTGAGAAAAAGCTGAAGTTAATCACCAAAAGAAATGTAAAACCTTTGGGATTGTAGGATGCAATTGCACTGGCAATGCAAATAACCTAAATATAAGTTGCTATTTAAACAGTGATGAGAAACAAAACTTCCACCTTAGAATCCTTAAGGTTTTCTGCTTTTTCTTTCTCTCCACCCCATTTTCCACTGAACATACATACAGGGGTTGTATGGGTGGATTAACTTCAGCTCAGGACACGGTGTATAGGTGTTCATTCCATAAGTTCTGCTTGAATTGGCAGCCAATTATGTGAATTTTTTTATCTAAAAGGGAAACAAGACTTTTTGTACTTCAGTAAATCTCACTCCTGTCCTCAAGAAATACCAGCCAGTATTGCCTAGCCTTTTAAAATGATAATTATTGTCATAAATTGTATATTCTGTGCAAAGTCTGCAAATGAAACTCTTGTATTAGATTGAAGTCTCTTATTTTAAGCTACTAAAAAAAAATATAAAATATCAGTGAAGAACATCCCATATGTTCTAGGGAGATTTCAGAAGAAATATCTGCCAGGCCAGCACAATGGCTCCTCTCACAAGCCATGCTGGCACTTTCTGTTGGCACCTTCATCCATCATATATATATGGGGTTTTTTGGTTTTGAGTTTTTTTTTTTTTTTGAGGGGGGAGGGATGTTTAACATTCCCTTGCATTAGGGACACAGGGAGTCATGTTGCCTTTTTCAAAATTATAAAATGGATAAAGTAGAAACATTTATTTGCCATTCACACTTTAAAGTAGAAGTTAAAGAGAAAAGACTACAGTGGGGGTTTTTTTTCCCTTTTAAATGTATGTTCTTTAGTACAAAACCTGTAGTTTCAGCCATGTGAGATCTGTAACTTAGAATTATAGAATCCTTTTGGTTGGAAGAGACCTTTTATGGTGGAGTCCAACTGTTAACCCAGCACTGCCAGGTCCCCACTGCCCCACGTCCCTCACACCACATCTCCACGGCTTGGAAACCCCTCCAGGGATGGGGACTCCACCACTGCCCTGGGCAGCCTGTTCCAGGGCTTGACATCCCTTTTGGGGAAGAAATTGTTCCTCATATCCAACCTAAACCTCCCCTGGCACAACTTGAGGCCATTTTCTCTTGTTCTATAAAGAGGATTAAGCCCTAGGGCTGCCTGTCAGTGTCACCACCCCTTTCTTCCCTCATCAATATGTGGGTACCACCAGCAGATGTCAAAGGCACTGTCAGCCCTCAGAGCTCATTGTTATCTTTGCCTGCATGCAGCTTTGAAGTATTTGGATACTACTTGTGACATACATGTGCTGGTGTGGGAACCTTGGGGTAGGTGATGTGTGTGTGTCCCTTAGAAATACTTCTGTGTTTATTTCAACCTGGGTGAGAGCAACGCTTCAGGTCATAGCACGAAAACACAGCCTCACTTCAATCAGTGCTCTTAAAAGGAAAGAAAAAGATAGAAAAGTGGAAAAACACAGACAGAATACTCTGTAGCCCATGCCAGAGCTCATGTGATATGCTCTGCCCTCAGGTTTCCACCTCAAAGAAACTGGTGGAGCTCACGTCACGCATCCGCATCATTAGGCAGATCCTGTTGGTTACAGAGCTGCAAACAGAACTCCTCTTCCAGGGTAATTAAGCATTATATGCACTAATTTCATTAAGGAGTGGAGTTCAATTGAATCATTGATGTGGTGAGAGGCTGTGGTCTCAGGGTGACCTGTGAGGAGGTAAATGGGGAAGATGCTTTTTATCGATGGTTGATTGCACAGGTCCCTGGTAGATGGGCCCTGATTTTGTTCCTTCACGGCGTAGTTAAACACATTTATTATCTAAATGTAGCACAGCAGCCAGTACAAGCAGCTGCTCCAGGCTGGAGCTGTGATTCAGCTGACCTAACATGAACAGCAGAACGTGCTGGAAGCTGCTTCAGTAGCATGGAGATGGTTAGTGAAGGAAGGAGATAATATATTCTGTATTTCTGTCTCATACAAGCTAAGGTATTATGGTATAATATACCTAATTTTTATTTTTTTTTTTAATTTACCATCAGGTGCAGTATTCTGACATTTCTAGACTTCTAATAAGGTACAATGTTAACTTTAAAAAAAAGTCATTTTGAGACATCCTTTTATTTTACTGTGCACACTTTGATATTGTTACATGGAATATTTTGTCACAGAAGCCTGATGTCTGATTTTGTTGAACTTGTTCTAGATTAGGGAAGTGGAGGAGTGTCCTTAGACATATTAAATAGAATTTAGGAATATTATTCTCCATGTTTCCAGCCTCCTTTAAAAAAATCCTGTTGTTTGACTTCACTTAGATAAAGGTCAGATGTTTCTGACCCTCTAAATTTCATCAGCTCCTGTGCTTGAAAATCGAATGAAGTCACTGTTTTGTGTATTTCCATAATAGCTGTAATGTTGTGACACTTCCTGGCTGCTTTTACCCTCAAGCTGGTATCTGTCTGCCTCTGAATCTCCTGTTTTGATTTGAAAATTATATATCCCTGTACTCGTAGTACAAAAATTACTCTGCAGAAGCGACATCATCTTGGCATTCCATAATCACCAATTAGATTTTTATTGCAAGTCCCATCAGAAAGCATTTTAATTGTGGATTATCATTATAATAATTACTTCAGAATAGCTATTTTGGTAGATTTCCAGTTAGTATGCAAGCCCTTATGGAGTGCAGAGCCTCTCAAAGGCCTTTCAATGCATTAAATCTGCGCTGCTGGAATCTGACATCAAGATTTCCACTAAAATGGTTCCTGTAATTTTTTAGCTTCTCAGATATTGGGTAGTTTTGCTTATTTTCCATTTAAATGCTTGCATTGCATTAAGTACATATTACATGCTTGTTTTCCATTCTTTGGTGCTGGGAGTAATTACATGTTCTTTTGAAATTAAGTACACAAATGGTAAAAATTCTTACAGATTTCAACTGGAGCTTGTCTTGTAAGCTAAATGAGAAGTTCAGCCCAAGAGGTAAAAGGTGATAGGTAGGGCATTCATAAGAGCTTGTTTTGAGTACGTTTATTAATTACCTAACACATGACTGCATATTGGATGGAAGCTCTAACAGTCTGTTTAGGATTTAGATGTGTCTCTAGATCTGTTCTTGTTCCCATACTCCCTCCAGCTCCCACTCCAGGTGTTCCAAAAAACTGGAACCCTGTCTGGAAGATGAGAAGGTGTGGCAAGGAGGCAGGGGATGACAGTGGGGACAGGGAATGCCTGATCTGCTGTATGCCAAAGCCAGCATCTCCCTGAATCCCAGAATAGTTTGGGTTGGAAGCGACCTTAAAGATCATCCCATGGGCAGGGACACCTCCCACTAGAGCAAGTTGCTCAAAGCCCCATCCAACAAGCTTGCCTGCTGTTTGGAAAGCTGTTCCAAGAAGGAAGGCATTCATACTTGGAGCACCTGGATCTCTGCAGGCTTGTCTCAGGGATCCCACAGTCAACTATCTGAGCAGCCTGAGTTCCTTTGATCATGCAGAGTCCCATTATTCTTGAAAAAGATGAACTGTGAGTCATGATCATGCTTACTTTGTTTGTGTGCTAGAATTGCCATTTTTCCTCCAAATTAAAATTAATTTGCATATGTCCTAGAGCAGCAGTCTTAATGTGCCGCCTGGTCCTGGTATAGTGGAAGGTGTCTCTGCCTGTGGCAGGGGGGGTTGGAACTAGATCATCTTTAAGGCCCCTTCCAAACCAAATCATTATGTGCCTATGAAGCCCTGAAGACCAGTGGCAGAAGACAAATGGCTTCTTGCAGTTGCTCATTGAAATCCTCCATGAGCAAGACTTGAGTTTGCATTTCTGTGCTGCAGCTAAGCTTCTGAAAGCAGCCTCTCCTGCATTTCCTCTGTCTTGAACAGAACTCAATTTTTATTACTCATGTCTGCTACTCTCACTTCGACTTACCCGATTTAGCTCAGGCCAGCCCTGAGTTTCCTGAATAACTCATGGTATTATTTCCTCAAAGAGACAGCGAGTGCTGTGCTCCATTTAAGGGAACTCCAGAGTGGTGAAAACAGTTGGGGAGCTTTTTAGAGCATGATATACTGGATGTGTGATCAAAACCCAGGAATGGATCCACACAGTAACAAGAGTTTAGGATTTTTTTTTTTTTTTCATCGTCATCTCATTGTCCTGGCTCTGAAATCAAGAGTGTAGAATAAGAAGTTGGCTGGTGTAATATTTTTTTAAATTAAAACCCATTCTCTTTTTCTTGGCTATGGATCATCTGACTGAAGAGAGTCTGTAAAGATGAACTGGGAATAAAAAGAGTAACATCTTCAAGCCTTCAGGCATTTTGCTTAATTCCCAGCTATCAAAGTAATTTTATAAAACTGGTGAACTAGCTGAAGTGATTTTTTTTTGTAGCTCTCCAGTTCTTAATGATGTGTTTGTGAATGCTCCACGTGAATAAAGTTAGTAGCATAACACAGAAATCTATGGAATATACTTGAAATATACTCTGGAATACACTTGCTTAAGCAAGGATGTATACCTATGAAAATAAAGGTTTATTATTTGTGATTTCAATCAGAAAAAGGCAGCCAAGCACATTTTATTTATGCTGAGACTCAAAGTATCTCTTTTCAGTCCATTACTCCTTGTATGGAAAACAGCAATATGTCAAAATGCTTTCTAAGGTATGCATTGCATCTGCACCTGAGTGATTGTTTTCCTCAGAAAAATCATAAATTTCAGTTGTCACACTGTTTTTCAATGGATAACTTCAAGTAATTGTAGCTCTGGGGTCAATATTTCAACACCCATTTGTACTGGAAAGCAGAAGAATTCTTTGCCTGTTTAGATGAGGATTTATTGCTTCACTTGGTGTTAACTTAGCAAATGAGTAGAGGGATTTGCCATCTAATAAAATAACTCAAAATATTTATTACTTAAAAAAAAAAAAAAGGGAAAAAAAACCCCTAAGGACACAAACCTGGCACAGCTTTTAGGAGGGAAGACTCAAAGCTTTTCCCTAAAGCTCTAGCAGAATTGCAAGGCTGCACTGGTTTCTCCAAACTCATCTATCTAGCTTTAGAAAGGAGACTTTTAGTTAAAAAACTGCCAATTTGCCTGTGAATAGGTCTTTAGCAAGGCCTGGACCCTGTTGAACAGGAAGAAACCCTGTCACTGTCATGTTTGAAGATGTCAGTAGCTCTAAAAATTATTTCTTCATAATGTTTATTGATGTGTAAATAATTTGGATGTTTTTTCCTGCACTATTAGAACCAGGTTATTTACTGGTTCCTTCACTAAAATTGATGCTGTGTAGAATTCTGTGCTTCATTCATAAAGCATAGAAACATTTTTACTGCTTTTAAGCCTAGCTGCTTGGTTGGTTTCCTGCTAAACTTAACTGTCTCTGAGTTGGCCACCATCCTCCTTCATGCAGAGAAAGTTAAGTTGACTTGGCAACACCAAAGAATTGTTAGCACTGGCAAAGAATATTCATTGAGATTTTAGATCCCTACATTTTGGGCTAGTAACCCTCTGATTTTGTTCAGACGTGTGTTTCTATTTTGTTTTGGTTACCCAGGGACTCCAGGAATCTCGATATATTTACTAAGTTTTTATCTTCTTGATAATCTAGACATTCTGCAGCTGAAATTGGGCTCTCAAGCATCCTTAGAGATGTGGTGGGGAGGGATGTTTTGTGCTTTGCAAGGCTAGGGCAGTTCAGGCCTTAAATCAACTCTGATTTAAGCAGATCCTCGGACTGAGTGATTTTTTTGGTGTTTTTTTTTTTGTTTTTTTTTTTTTTATCATGAGGAGGACATTCTGCTTTACTTAAACCTTTGCCATCTTGTTGAACTAGAGACTAGGAGATTAGAAGTGCAATCAAACCAGGTTTTAAAAATAGAGATGTTGAGCAGTTGTGTTTGTTGGCTGGTTGGTGAGGCTGTCAGTCACTGCTTTGCAAGAAAGTGTGTCAAGGATGCTCCCCTTTTCCTTTCCCCCCTTTTCCTTTCCCCCCTTTTCCTTTCCCCCCTTTTCCTTTCCCCCCTTTTCCTTTCCCCCCTTTTCCTTTCCCCCCTTTTCCTTTCCCCCCTTTTCCTTTCCCCCCTTTTTCCTTTCCCCCCAGATAGGTTTCAGCTATGGAAAAGTATCATGACTGCCTGCTTCAAGTACCTGGTTTTGTTCATCAGCTCTTCTAGTAGCATAATGGGCTTTTCCTTTCCCTGGCAAAACATGATAAAGAAGAAGAGCTCATTATCTTTGCAGAAAATGGTTTTGCAAGGCATTGCCTCTCATACCCCTTCATCAGTGAAGTGCATTTCTCTTGCTGTGCAGCTGATAAGGCTGAAGTGAAAATGTAGAAGGACCAGAGTGTGGACAAGTTGTCTGTGCAGGTTCTCTGTGTCGTGCTGATGCTGTGCTGGTGCAGAAAGTGCTCATCAAATAAAGCAGTTTAAGTGGTGATTCTCTCAGGTGTTGGTGGGGGTTTAGCCTCAACTGTCTCATTTCTGTCAAAGGAGAACAGAGGAGCATTAATATATTTAAGGGAAGTGTCTCAGCTAGGGGGTTAAGCTTGCTAAACCACATTTGGGCTGCTGGAAGTACAGATGGGAGATTAATGTCATCATGCCTTTGGTTGCAGCAATCATTAAGAGAGGTTTGCTTTGAAAATAGGAAAAAAAAAAAAGTTGAAATTCTGGGATTGCCTCAGAAATAAAAACCCCTCTGAGGCTCAGAACTGGGACCGAGCTGCTGGAAGCCCCTTGGTCAGATTTAGCTTATCATGCTTACCTTCAAAACTGCTAAATGCCACTGGGAGCCAAGAGTCATGTGAAAAAAAAAAGGAAGGAAAATAAAACTTTCTCAGTGTGGCTGCTGAGACATTTGACTAACTTTTATTATTTCAGGGTAGTTTTTACTTTTTGATGATCAGTCTTTCACACAACACTAGGAAAGTGGCATTTTAAAAAGAATATAACATACCGTTATTCCTCTTCTCCCCCAAAAAACAAAGAGGCTCAGACATTGTTTCTGAGGTGCTTTAAAGTTTCTCACATCCCTTTGGAGTGAAAATGCTGATAAATGATCCTATTTCTCACTCCAAGAGCTCCCAAGCCTTCCAATTTGATATGTGAAATTGAAATAAAATTGTGACGTTTAAAGCAATTTTAAAAATGGTTTTCTTTGTGTTTAAAAGCACTGAATTATCTTCCTTTCATACTGGTCTAAATAGTTGATTTAAGCAACCTCAAGGTTTCAAGGCAGTGATAAAATTCCTCATTTTCAATCCCATTCTACCCCAAACCCACCAGAGTTAACAGATATATTTCAGCTGAGTTTAGGGAAGCCCACAATATAATACACTTGAAGTTTTAAAAACACTTTCTTTTGAGCATATAATGCACAAATTTTTTCATTCTATGAGAATTTAAGTACTTTATAACAGAAGAATGTGGTGAGGTAATTACCTGTGTTAGTAAACCTGTGCTGCCATACTTGAACAGTAGAGATGTGAGAAATATGATATTCCTGGATGCACTGGTGATAAGAACACCAATAATAGTCTTTACAGCAACATGTTCTTTTTTCCCCTTTTTATAGGATGAGAGATACTGCAAGAAAAATAGAAGAAAAATATTTTTCCAATCTTGCAACGCATGTTGAATTTCTCCCAGTTGAATGGAGGTCAAAACTTACCCTTGATGGAGGTACGTTGTAGAAACATAGAACCATAGAGTTGTTTGGGTTGGAGGAGACCTTTCAGGTCGAGTCCAGCAGTTCCCCCAGCACTGCCAGGTCCCCCCTGCCCCGTGTCCCTCACACCACATCTCCACAGCTTGGAAACCCCTCCAGGGAGTGCTGAGTCCAGGGGCATAATCCCTGCCTTAGTCCTGCTGGCCACAGTATTTTTGATCCAGGCCAGGATGCTGGTGGCCTTCTTGGCCACCTGGGCACACACTGGCTCATCTCCAGCCAGGTGGCCACCAGCACCCCCAGGGCCTTTTCCTCTGGGCAGTTTCCAGCCACTCTTCCCAAAGCCTGGAGCTCTGCAGGGGGTTGGTGTGACCCAAGGGGAGGACCTGGCCCTTGGCCTTGCTGAACCTCATCCCATTGGCCTTGACCCATGGATCCAGCCTGGCCAGACCCCTCTGTGGAGCCTTCTGACTCTCCAGCAGATCAACACTCCCACCCAACTTGGTGTCATCTGCAAATTTGCTGAGGGTGCCCTCAGTCTTCTCATCCAGGTCATTGATAGATTAAACGGAACAGGCTCCAATACTGAGCGCTGGGGAACACCACATGTGACTGGCCACCAGCTGGACTTGACTCCATTCACCACCACTCTCTGGGCCTTTCCATCCAGACAGTTTTCTACCCAGTGAAGTGTACACCCATACAAGCCATGAGCAGCCAGTTGCTCCAGGAGGAAGCTGTGGGAAACTGTGTCAGAGGCTTTACTGAAGTCCAGGTAGACAATACTCACAGCCTTTCCCTCAGCCACTGAGTGGATCACCTTGTCATAGAAGGAGATCACATTAGTCAAGCAGGACCTGCCTTTCAAAAACCAGTGCTGACTGGGCCTGAATCCTGGGTTGCCCTGGATGTGTCTCATGATGGCACTCAAGGTGATCTGTCCTATAACCCTCCCTGGCACTGAGGTCAGACTAACAGACCTACTACTCAGTTCTTTTGCTGTTCCAGTAGCTGCAGTCTTCAAAATTGTCCCCAGAAGCTTCATGACATGTTCTCTGCACGTGCTTTGTTTGGATTTGATCATTCTCCTGCAAGAAACTGAAGTATCTATTATTTTTTCCAGACACTGTGGACTCCATTACCCCAGATAAAGTACGAGGTTTGAGGGACATGCTGAACAGCAGTGCCATGGATATCATGTATTATACAAGTCCTCTTTACAGAGATGAAGTAAGTGTGGGGTTTGGGGAGCTTTACTAGAGCAGAGCATAGAGGCTGAAAGAAACTGGGCTTAGGAACATAAGCAAAGTTGTGTTTTGAAAGACCCTACTTAAAGAATATGAACACTGAAAGTATGGGATGCTCATCCATAGTAATCAAAATGCCATTTTAAGACTGAGAGGAGCAGAGAAATAGCAAAAAATGCAGTCAGTGTAATTTATTTAGAGCAGAAATGGCTCTCGACCGTGGGTCTGTATCAGGAGCTTCGAAATGGGAAGATTTTTCATGGTGTTTTCTTGCATCTGCACATTCAGAGCAATGGGAGTCCATAAAGCTGAGATTTTGTACCTCTTGCAGTATCTGTGGATATCTGTCCTTTCATTTGTGTCACATGGAATGGCAGCAAACATGCCCAAGCCCCTTTCACAGAATCATGGAATTGTTTAAGTTGGAAAAGACCTTTAAGATCATCAAGTCCAACTGTCGTCCAGCACTGCCAGGTCCCCACTGCCCTGTGTCCATAACACCACATCTCCACGGCTTGGAAACACCTCCAGGGGTGGGGACTCCACCACTGCCCTGGGCAGCCTGGTCCAGGGCTTGACAACACTTTTGGGGAAGAAATTTTTCCTAACATCCAACCTAAACCTCCCCTGGGGCAACTTGAGGCTGTTTCCTCTTGTCCTATCACTTATTCCTTGGGAGAAGAGCCCAACCTCCATCTGAAGCATATACAGAAGCATCCTTTGTGTGCCCCACTCCCTGAAACCCCTGTGGGGATGTTGTAGGATTAGTTTCTGTAGGAATTGTAGGGTTTCTTCTGTATTGACCACGTTATGCATGGAGGTAGTTCTAATCTTTTTGCAGCCTTGGTGTTCTGTGCATGGCTAGGCTGGGGCAGGGAGAAAAGAAACTTTTGGAGTTTTACTGTAGATTTAAAATTAAAAGCCCAGGGCTCATGGGCTCTCCACTGTGTATCAGGTCTCTCCATCTGTTGTGCAGCTGAGGCCAGCATGAAATTTTGCAACAAGTGATGAAAACTTCTCTGGCAGCTTTAAAATGGGTTTGGGGTTTTTTTTTTTAAGCTGCATTAGAGGCTTGGCATGTCTGTGGCATCTTGTGGGAAATGGATTAATGAGTAAAGTGCAGGTATGCTGGCCAGCAGTGCATGGAAGATTGAATTCCTTGCTCAGCAGAACTGTACTTTTGCAGGTATATCACCAGCCGTCAGGTATGAGAGTTGGCAAACAAAACGAGTGTGCTGTGGCTGTACTGAGACCTGGCTGGAAAAGACTAAGTTGTTTTTCTCACCAAATCAAGTGAAAATTTTTGAATTGTTTGCAGTAATCACACCCAAGTTGGTCATAGCTTAATATGTAAGGATGGAGAAAGATGGGGGCAGACTTTCTAGCAGGGCCTGTTGTGACAGGACAAGGGGGGATGGTTTGAAACTAAACCAGGGAGATTTAGACTAGAGAGAAGGGAGAAATTTTGGCTGCTGAGGGTGGTGAGCCCCTGGCCCAGGCTGCCCAGAGAGGTGGTCGCTGCCCCATCCCTGGAACCATCCCAGGTGAGGTTGGCCGGGGCTCTGAGCAACCTGCTCTAGCTGCAGATGTCCCTGCTCAGGGCAGGGGGTTGGACTGGGTGACCATTGAAGGTCCCTTCCCACACAAACCAGTCTGTGATTCTATAATTCCTATTCAGACTGCATTGATAAATCTTACAGCTTTCTCAAAGCAGAAGTGTATGATTTGAATTGCAACTATTTGTCCAACAAAAAAAAGTTCCATTACAAACAAAATGTTAAAACCTTGAAGAACAGGTTTCTGAAATGTCTTTGGTGTTGCAACCAAATGGAGGCTTTCTTCTTGTTCATTCAGCTACAGACTCTGTGTTCTGCCAGGGAGTTACCAGGGATTGACTTCTTGTTTGATTCTGCTCATTGACATAGGAGCTGTGTAAAGCTCATGGTCATCAAATAGCTGTTGTGTATCTTTTCACCTTTTATTTTGCCTTTATCTGCAGGAAGGAGACTTGATTTGGTTCAAGGTTGGTTTGATTTTTTTCTTTTCGGTTACTCTTCCTTAGCCCATTTTATTTTCTGTGACCTAACTTTGCAGAGTTTAAACACAATAGTATCAAGTTGAGCATTATTCTAGAAAATCTGTTGGGTCTTTTCCCATGTTTGGGAAAAATGTCATTTTATGGCACTTAGTGCTCCCTCCAGCTCAGGAATGTCTTGTCTCCAAGTATCCACAGGGTCCCATGTTGCTCACAATTGTTATTCCTGCTTGCTGCTTCATCATGCCAGGTTCTTTGTATACAGTGGGCACTCCTAATGCTTTCCATCCAGAAATCCTCAAAGTACCTCAAAAGGAGCTAACTAAACTTTGCTGTGCTCCTCTGAAATAAATTGAGCAGTGCAGCAAGTTCAGCCTTGAGAAGAGTAAAGCCACTGTTCACCCAGCATGGTGGGGTTGGAAGGGACCTCTGGAGATCATCTCATCCAACCCCCCTGCTCCAGCAGGTCACCCACAGCAGGGTGCCCAGGATGGTGCCCAGGTGGGTTTGGGATCTCTCCAGAGCAGGAGACTCAACAGCCTCTCTGGGCAGCCTGCTCCAAGCTCAGCCACCCGCACAGCAAAGAAGTTTCTCCTCCTGTTCAGGTGGAACCTCCTGGGTTCCAGTTTGTGCCCATTGCCCCTTGTCCTGTCACTGGGCACCACTGACAAGACTCTTGCCTCAGCCTCTTGCCCCACTGTGGGCCCTGCTGTTCATGTTCAGCATTGATCAGATCCCCTCTGAGGCTTCTCTTCTCCAGCTGAACAGCCCCAGGGCTCTCAGCCTGTCCTGGCACAGAGATGCTCCAGCCCCTCAGCATCTTCACAGCCTCTGCTGGCCTCTCTCCAGCAGTTCCTTGTCTCTCTTGTCCTGGAGATCCCAGAAGTGCCACAGTATTCCAGAGGTGGCCAACACTCAACAATACTTTGGATAGAAATTTTCTTTCTACTTCCAAGGACTTTCCCCACATCTAGGAGTAATGTAACTGCTTCTTTACAGCTTTTGGTCACTCTTTAAACAACTCATTAAGGGATTGGGAAGTGGGTAGACAATATCTCCTTTTGGTAGGGAAGAAGCCTTGTCATATCAGCTTTCACATGAGAGAGCAGGGAGCTGTTTCAGCTGCAGATGGATTGCTCTGCAAAGTGTTGTAGGAGCATAGTGGATGACCCCCTCTCTGATTTCAAGTGTTGTTTCTTCTGCAGCGTGGTAGGAGAATATCCAAAAGGTGCCTCTGCCTTCTGACATGCCATGTGATACCAGACAAGTATTAATAATTCAGTGCAGCCCTACAAACATCTGAGACAGGCTGATGTCAGGGTTCAATCTGGAGGTTGTCTGCAGGCAACACTTTGTATGTGGCTGCAGGTGGATTGTGCTGTGCAGGCAACTCGTGTATAGTGGTCCACAATGCATGGAGCAGAATCTCTCTTTAAACACTACACAGACAGTAAGGAAAAGCAATAAATGGATATTTTGATGCATACATGCCTATTTCCAAATGAGCAATTGTTTTACATGTTAATTCTGACCTTGCTAGTGCCATCTGTGGTAACGTAATCTTGGGGTTTAGTGTCTTCATTTCTCACCTGTGTCATTGTAGCTTCATATTTCTTTAATAATAAATGGCTGGAACAGAGATGAAAAAGACTAATTGATGCATAGTAAATTGTGTTGTCACCTTCATTATATTATTAAGTGCTGATTTTACTGATCTTCACTTTACTTCCTTCCAGGCAAATTGTCGTTCTGTAAATTATTGAAACGTGTCTTGGCAGAAAATGCCTTTAGTACAGGATAAATATTGTTTACATCCCTCACCCCAAGATCTCTAAAGATCTAGTGCAAATACTGCAGTAGCCTCAGAAGATTTTTTAGATGTTTATGGATTAATCACCACAGCTGAAGAGTCCAACAACCAAACACAGCCAAGTCCACCACTGCCCCGTGTTCCTCAGCACCACATCTCCACGGCTTGGAAACACCTCCAGGGGTGGGGAATCCACCACTGCCCTGGGCAGCCTGGGCCAGCACTCAAAAGCCCTTTTGGGGAAGAAATTTTTCCTAACATCCAGCTTAAACCTCCCCTGGAGCAACTTGAGGTCATTTTCTATTGTTCCTTGGGAGAAGAGCCTGACCCCCAGCTGGCTCCAGGCTCCTGTCAGGAGCTGTGCAGAGCCAGAAGGTCTCCCCTGAGCCTCCTTTGCTCCAGGCTCAGCACCCCCAGCTCCCTCAGCTGCTCCTCACCATACTTGTGCCCCGGACCCTTCCCCAGCTTCATTGCTCTGCTTTGGACACGCCCCAGCACTGCTCTCAGCAGTAGAAGGCAATTCTTCTTTGTGTGTTTCAAAACTAGAGGGATTGGAAGCAGGAAATTTTTCACTGGAAGTACTTCAACACTGATTTTGCTTATTCTGTTGAACCTAATAGTCAGAGACTGGTTGGCAGCACTTTCATGGCTTGCTTAAGTGACTTCATTAGAGATGGGTTAAACTCAGTGTTTCAACACTGAGCAGTATTGAGGGAGAGACTCAGGTCTCCCCAGATCCTTTTTCTGTAACACCACTAAGGCACGCAGCCATTCCTGTCTGTTCACAGAGCCAAGACTCATTCTGGCCTCTCATCTGTTGTTGTGACACTTTTTTGGCATCCTTCAGTGATGCCATCAGGGAGTGTGACAACTGTTACATTCTGGAGGGTCAGCAGTCTCACTATCTCTACATTGCCTGCTGGCATGTCCTGGTTCACATGAAGCAAACGCTCCTTGTCTTTGCTTTCATGGCCCTTTACAATCCATCCTTGAGCTGCAGCTTTTTGGTTGGCATTTAAGGACCTCCTTCTACCTCCAGCTGGCTCACATACCTTCTTATTGCCTGGTTGCTGAATTTCAAACAAGTTTGCACTTTCTCCTGAAGTTCTCTTGACGTTTGGAGAGAGCTGCTTGCAAA